CTAGGTACACGCATTTTAACTCAATCCTAGGTACACGCATTTTAACTCAATCCTAGGTATAAGATTTTAACTCCATCCTAGGTACATGCATTTTAACTCAATCCTAGGTTCACGCATTTCAACTCAATCCTAGGTACACGCATTTTAACTCAATTTTAGGTACACGCATTTTTACTCAATCCCAGGTACACGCATTTTAACTCAATCCTAGGTACACGCATTTTAACTCAATCCTAGGTACACGCATTTTAACTCAATCCTAGGTACACGCATTTTAACTCAATCCTAGGTACACGCATTTTAACTCGTTATTCTTCAATCTTCTGTCTTCTACATTAAACTAGCTTTCTTTTCTCTTACTCATAATCAATGCATTCATTTGTACGCGAATAAACTCGATCCATTCTATACACACACAAGTATATATATATGTACTTACTTTGAAGAAGCATATTTTCTGAGTGGGAGATGTCGGAAGTTTTTTTCATATGTTCCACTACTGTACTTTCGTTTGTGCGTTCTGATAAACAGAGAAGGAAAACGATAAATGTAGAATTTTTATTAAACTGCCAGTTGCTTATATTTTTCTTTACAGCGATGATAGGCAAAAGTACGTGCATCTTGAGCACCACTAATATGAAATGTTTTCAATAACTGATAGCTTTAAAAATGAAGATTACCAAATTATTACTTTTTCTTATAAAACAAGAGTAGTTATAGCAAAGAGAATTAATCAAAGTTAAAAATGATGTGGAAACTGTACTGCAGATTTTACGAGACATCTCAATATAAATATTTAATCGTATTGTTTTATCGGTGGTGCACCCTGTTAAAACTGTTTAGGTTCTAATAAGCACAAAAAAAAGTTTTCGTATGATTCTCAGACTACGGTTTGGATTTTATTAAATTTTTCGCGCTTTTAGGCCCATTTCATATATTAGAAATAAACTAGGCCTATATATTATTGAGAGAAGGTAATAAACATGAAGGTTGTGTTTAATGAGAATTATTTTAATGAAGATTTTTTACTGTTAATTGAACGCAAGGTGATCTTAACATGTTGTTTGTAGACTTTTAATATCTGCCATCTACAGAGCTGGATTAACGTTGAGCTACTGCGACCACTATTATGTTATTGTGAATAGAAAGGCTATATACAAACGTTTAATCCAATTATTTGGAAAGTGTACCCTGTGTGATGAAGTAGTCGCCAATCTCCATAGTATTTTTTGTATTAAATTCCATCAACTGAGGAGAACACTAAGAAATATGAAGCATATGTTTATACAAAAATACGAATTTAAAGCCTTCTTATGAGAGCGGATAGAATATGGAAAAAAGTCAGATAATTATGAACAAATAAGAAGTGCGCGTACTCGAGAGAATATTTCAATCGCTTTACTTGCGCATCCTTTCGACACGCCTTCATGAGAAGCATACATGTTCTGTATCGATATGTATCACTTAAATTAGATCGTTGTATTCTAAGAATCAAATATGCTCGTCCTATATGGTTACCGTCTGGGCAGGCCACCCAAGTGTAAAAAATTCTTGGCTTTCAGAATTACCGACCCCCAGTGGCACAGCGGTATGTCTGCAGATTTACAACGGTAGAATCCGGGTTTCGATACCCGTAGTGGGCACAGCATAGATAGCCCATTGTGTAGCTTTGTGCCTAATTACAAACAAACATTCCAGAATTACCGCCCGATCCCAAAAATTAGTTGCGATTAAGATCATTACGAAAAGAAGGGGCTCGGCATGGCCAGGTGGTTAGGGCACTCGACTCGCAATATGAGGGTCGCGGGTTCGAATCCCCGTCCCACCAAACATGCTCGCCCTTTCAGCCGTGCGGCGTTATAATGTGACGGTCAATCCCACTATTCGTTAGTAAAAGAGTAGCCCAAGAGTTGGCCGTGGGTGGTGATGACTAGTTGCCCTCCCTCTAGTCTTTCACTGCTAAATTGGGGACGGCTAGCGCAGATAGCCCTCGTGTAGCTTTAAGCAAAACTCCAAAACAAACAAACAAACAAACGAAAAGAAGAACAAGAAATATTCCAAGAATTAAACCACGCACAAGAGTACATCATGCATGTGACCATTTCTATTGTTACAAAGCTTGTGGCACGTACGTAAACAATACAATATAGACGTTATTGTTATATAAAGAAAGAATATCTTGCATTGTGAAATAGCCGAAATGGGAAAGTTTAATATAATTAGTTAAACTGATAAAGTAATGTTGAAGTTATTATTGACGAGAAATATATTTAAATTTAAGAGAGCGTCCATTCACTATGTTTATTCATTGTTGGTTTATATTTTTCTATAAAGAGCAACTCCTTAATTTTTCGATCTAAGATCTGAGGATTTTAAACGTTATCGTGCAATCCGTTCTAGCTATACCATCACTCACATATAGTAAACTACATACACCCTTTTACGTCTACTTTGTTTACGTCCTGAACATGTTCAATGACACATTCAGGGAATGGCTTGTTTGCTTGTTATTAAGCACAAAGCTTCAACAATAGGCTATATGTGATGTACCCACCACGGCTATCGAAACCCGATTTTTAGTTTTATAAGTCTTTAAATTTACCGCTGAGCTACTGGGGGGGGGGGGGTGTTCATGGAATGGTCTTCCAGTAGATGGCCTTACATTCTATACATTCTATTTTATTTGTGACATTCTTTGTTAAACAGTTTCCTTTCATATATGAGGAGTCAACAAAACAGTTTTTTGCAGTGTGTTTGAACGTGGATCTAGTAAGGGTCTGTTTTCTAGTCACGCCTGATTTCTGTAAAACTCTACTTGGGAAACCGGACATTTTCACAACTCTGCGTAATATGCGATATCACCCAAGTAGATAGAGTATCCTTGTACAAACTTTATGTTGATGATAAGAAAGTTAACCTAAAAGAAAATGTAAAAACATTGTTTATCAGGAAACATTTTCCCAAAGAAAAACGAATAACAAAATTAGTTGAAGAAATTATCGTAAAATAAAAAATATTAAAAATACATTGATAAAAGGAAAGTGTGATATAAAGAAAACTATACAAATTATTTTTATAACAGGGATAAAAAAACAAAGACACAAAACAAATGTAAAAAAATACATTGTTAAGATGGAATCATATCGTAGTTCATAAATACAATGGTATAAGAGAAATATGCTCCAAAGCAAACTGTAAAAAAATATTTTGCTATCAAGAACGTATATCCCCCAAAATGTGTATTAAGGCATTGTTACCCAAAAGCACGTTCTTTTTTCAAAAACAACGGTGCAAGTAGTATAGTAAATGTTGTCAGAACTATCGAGTTAACCAAAGATCTCTAAAATAAATTAAAATATTTTTTTTTTTTTTACAAATGGATGATTGCATCACGTTATTTTATCACTAGAAAAGAAAGCCTGCCTCAGCAAACCCTATTTTTGAACTGGTATAATAGATAGAAGGCAGCTAGCCAATAGCCAAGAGTGGAATTTGTCTGCCACACGTTTACGACCCCAAAGTGCGGAGTGTGATTTTGGAACAAAAGCACGCGAAGCACGAATCTTCAGGTTCAAATTCCGGCAGGCTGACCAGAAGTAAGCTATATGAAATCCGGAAAACAGTCTAGCTATCTAATATCTACTGGGTTTTGAGTCCGTTTTACGTCACCATATAGTAACCTAAATTATATTGAGTTACTGTATGGTGAAGTAAAACCGATTCAAAACCCAATATATATTATATACACTTCACCATATAGTAACCTAAATTATATTGAGTTACTGTTTGGTGAAGTAAAACCGATTCAAAACCCAATAGATATTATATACACTTCACCATTATACGAGGTCTAACGATATTTCTTTGGGTTGCTGACCAAAACCGTGCTGATGAGCCTTGGATAGGCGAACCTGCAGTCCACAGCAGAAGGTACGGCCTATCAAGGAATTCATTAGGCCTTTATGTCAAATATTCCCCTTTCAATTTCACCTCTTTAGCTTATATATACAATCTAGCTATCTGATCCGAAACAAAGTATATCTTAACATAATTAACTTCTACTAAATGTATAAGGTGGGCAAGTAACAACAAAATAAGTAATGTGAAATTGAGATTAGCCAATTTATATGCCAAATACAAATATATTAACATCAAATATATACTAAATTTTGATCTCGCTTTTCATAACACTTCATAAAGTTAACTTAAGAATTTTTTAGTTTCAACAGATGTATCACGCTTGCTCTCCTCAAATTAACTGTAACTTAAGGACTTCCACAATAACAGTGAAATTATATACTTGTAACAAATATGATTAACATAATACATAATACACGACGAACTAAGTCATTTGCTACAAGTTACTTATAATATAGTTAGCTAAAACACTGTATTATTGTCACTTTGAATCAGGAAGGTTCGTTGAAAGTACAACCATGTTTTTTCCATCAGCTAAACGAGAAACAGTCAATTTAAATAAGTATATATATATAATCAAATGTCAGCTATCGTGACTATGTATTTGATTTCACAGAAAATATTTTTGGTTTCTACTCAGATACAAGACAATTTAATAATTCTAAAGAAGGTTTCTCAGTTTCTCTTTGTTTGTGGTTAAGCACAGAGTTATACAATGGGATATCTTTGTTCTGCCCATCGTGAGCATCAAAATCTGATTTTTAACCTTATAAGCCCCCAGTCGTCCCGCTGAGCATTTTTTCTTGATTCCGGAAGTTCGAATATATATCCATGTCTTGGGAAAAGAGCAGCAAATATGCTACAACAAATAGAGTGTAGCTTATAGTTGCTTTGTTTATGGCAAAGTTACTGAGGCTATTTGCCCCCGCCCCTAATTTTATATTTCTGATCACGGGGAAGGCAATTGATGAGCAGAACTATCCGCTGATAGCTCCTGGGATGTTCTTTATTAGTAATGGTATTGACTCCTATAACACAATGCCCCCATGGCTGACAGTGGAAACCTATACTGAGCTAGTAAAGAAAGATGTGATTAAAATACTGGTTGAATGTGTAAACCTATACTGAGCTAGTAAAGAAAGATGTGATTAAATATACTGGTGAATGTGTAAACCTATACTGAGCTAGTAAAGAAAGATGTGATTAAAATACTGGTGAATGTGGAAAACTATACTGAGCTAGTAAAGAAAGATGTGATTAAAATACTGGTGAATGTGGAAAACAATACTGAGTTAGTAAAGAAAGATGTGATTAATATACTGGTGAATGTGGAAAACTATACTGAGCTAGTGAAGAAAGATGTGATTAATATACTGGTGAATTTCAAGCATTAGTTCAAAGTAATAATTTAGAATTAAGCAATGAAAAACATGACCATATGTTACTGCTTTGCACAGTCAAAAGAAGCCTCAGCGTATATTGCTCATAAATTTAATGTTTAAAGGGTACGGTTCAAATAGCATTAATGCGTTTTTATTGGAGTTACCTCCCTCGACGTGGATTCCTGTACGTAGTGAGGGGACCTCCCAGGGTAGTTTCTAT